GGACGGGGGCAGATGGTTGAGAACGATCGCAGCCTGCCTCCCTCCTGATGCTGGCGTCCACCTCCTGGGCAATCGAAACAGCACGAGCATAGGTCTGAGTCCCGTGACTTACAATATTGTGACGCACTGCTGGGTAAAGCCCGTCAATGAAGCGATGTGCCCTTTGTGCCTCTGTACGTACCAAGTCCGGAACAAAAGCTGCAAGTCTGTTAAACTCCCTCTCGTACTCATCAACAGAACGAGTACCCTGCTTGAGCGACGGAACTGACGCTCTATCTCTGCTCTATAATATGTGAGGTAGTATTTCTCGCGGATTAGCTCCTTGAGCCTCTCCCAGGTACAACCCTCTTTCTCACCGGGACGCATGCTCCAGTAGGCTTTCCACCAGAGTCGGGCATCACCGGTTAACTGAAGCTGTGCGCATATAACGCGATATCGATCTGGACAGTCCATGACCTCGAAAATCAACTCAAGGCCCTGAATCCACTCGTCCACGATACGGGGATCTCCCTGACTGGAGAATTTCTCAGGGTGATAGTCGCGAAACTGTGCGACTACTGTGGCCTGGGGAAGAACCGGGTGATCGAGTTCCCTACGGGGCGGCATCTGAACATTGAGGAAGTTCAATATTATTGAACACATGAAAAATACTTTAATTGATTAATAAAGCACACAAATCTCTTGACGAGTAGCCAAATATGGCTGGAAAATACTGACTTGAATCCTAAGGAAATCTAGAGTTATATCTGAGTACACTGATCTATAAGTTTTGAACCTGATTCGAGCATCTTAACTAAGTCATGATTAATAAATTTCTGAGCATAGACAAAGTAATTTGTTTATAACTTAAAACATAAATCAACACTTACCTGTAGTCGGCGAGGCGTGAGCGTGACGGTTCAGGTTTTTGCAAAACTTTTGACTTGTAAAAACTTTTAGAGACGCAGAAACGTGCTCTGATACCAATTGTAACACCCCGCTATTTCATGAATTTCAGAGTGCGCTTTTTCGCAAATTTTCTAAATAAATTAAATAAAATATTTCTTTTGCGAAATCTGATTTGGGGTGCTACCGTAAAATCTGACTTATTCTGAAAACCGTTAATTTTGAGTTTAATAATAAAAACAGTTATAAAACATATTAACCGACTAACGTCGGGTCAAAAGCTGGTTTGGAGTACTGAAAATTGTAGCAGAAATGTAGCGTACCCAAACATAATATATACGTATAAACAAATGTCTTGAACCGGTCGCCCGCTCACTCCTCGGCTCCGACTCTGTGACCTGAAAAACATGAAAAATGTGGGGGCGTGAGCACTAATACACTATGCTCCGCAGAAACTCATACTAAAGTAAACAGTGAAAATAATTACAATATCATGATCCTGGCATATATAAATGAACTGAAACTAAAACTGATATCTGATACCGGTACTGAATACTCTGATACTGATCTCGTGATATAAATCACCTGACTGATAACTGAACATCTGCCGGCATAGCCGGACACCATGTGCACACTCTAGTGGGCAGATTAAGGCCACTAGAACTCAGAATGGACCGACGACCATTCCGAGTGGATACTGAACTGATAATACATACCTCAAACATGGTAGCATAATTATAATCAATGTAGTACTTAGTCTGAGTCCCCACCTGATCCGTGAAAATGAAAGGCAGTGCTGATGACTGATGCCTGATCAAACTGAAATATAATATAAACAATTACTAAGTACTATGCTCAGACTGATTAAAAATATTTGTTTAATATGTTAAGATGCTCTATTGAACTCGACATGATTTTTGGATTTAATCGGTATAACTGAAACTGGTTAAATACAGAACTGAACTGATACTAATTTACTGAACTGAACTGAACCCGGAATTTTAACTGAAAAATGAGACTAAACATGAACCGGGACTAGAACATGAAATTATGGACTGAAC